AAAAACTCTCAATCTTTCTCTCTCCCTCTCATCTGTCTAATTGTCCCAAATCTTTTGTGATCAAAGCAAAAGAAATGGTCATAGTAAAATTATGGAGAAAATTATTTTCAGTGGAATTTATGTAAAAATTGTGTGATGGGTATATTTGCAATTATGATAATTGTGTTGGATTAAGATGTAAATTTTATATTAAATCTTTATATCTTGAGATGTATAGCTCCAAAAATTATGCAAAAATTGTCATAAAATACGTTCTTACATCTAGAACACTATGGTGAAAATGGTTCGCAAAATAGATGTTATACCAATCAAAATCATCATTCTCATTTCCTTCTTCTTTCTCCTCCATGGGTTAGTTTGGTCCAATATAATGTTGTTATGGAGATGTTGCGGGAAACTAAGTTTAATCAGGGCTAGTAATCAGCGGACAATTCTAGAATATGTTCTTCTAGGTTGAGTTATGTTTATCTATGTAAGTGGAATTTTTAATAATGATTCATGTAATGGTCAATTTTGCTGACACACTTTGTGTTGCCAGGTCCGGAGACCAAAAATGTACTCCTCAACATCGTGCACCTTGTAAGCCATCGAAGAGGGCACTCTAAAACGTAGAGTGGAGGGAAGGGAGGAACTTTCCTCAATTTCAAGAACGAATCCTTAAAAGATAAGATTTTATTCCATGTTAAAATAAAACTCAAAGATATATTTTTCTTAGAAGAACCTCCTAGGACCCCGACCTATACACACAACCCATAAAAGAGGGAGGGATCTACCCTAAGCAAATCTAAGATTAACTTATATATGATTTTATCTAAATCTATGATAATGTCTCATGAATAGCAAAATTTAGGACCACTCCATCTCGAGTCACCTTGTTGATATTTTTATTGAGCATAAGGTTCATATAGATAAAATAGGGTCAAGCTTTAGATTGTATAGTCATACAAAAAGCAAGAAAATTTATCAATTTTGTCCCTAATTTTTCAATGGACAAAGGCATCACTTATTGTAAGGAAATATAAGATCTCCTCAAAATCAGAGTGACCATTATAATAAGCCAAATATTCATCAGAATTATAACTATGAAGATAAAAAAAATTGATTAATGAACTTATAATACAAAAAAACACTGATTTTCTCACATAAACACCTTTTAGTTTTTTGTGTTCTTTTTCATTCACAAAGAACTCCCTAACTGCAGGTATTATAGTGGCACTCAGCTCATGGGCTTACTTATCCATACTGCTCAGCACTATAAGATTCTACTCTGCCTCCAGGACTCTTAAACCTCCTTTTAGAAATTATTTTCTTAAGTATTAACACCTCCTCATATCTTACCTCAGCCTTGAAACTCACAAAACTTTTGGAATCATGGGAATTTGAGGCCTTCTTCCTTAATCTGATCTTATATGTCATCTCTAAAAGAGAGAAATTGAGAGAAAAAGAAAGAAGGTTGAGAAAAGTGCCTAGACCTTTACCCTTATGGAACTAAGAATTGAGTTAGAGAATATGAAAAAGAAATGGAAACCATCAACCCTATATATAAGAAAAAGTTGCGTTGCAATGCTGCGATCATAGCTCGCAGCATTGAATGCAATACACGTTCTAGTATTGTGATACTAGAGGTTGGCATGACAACGTTAAAGGATTGGGTAAGATGGTGTTGTCCCGCTAGGTCTGGTCAATGATCCCTTTAATTAGTCATAATTATCACACATTAAAATAATGATTATTGAATCCTGATTTTTCCGTGAATTACACCCAAAAAATAGAGGGTGAGATGAGAGAGAGAGAGAGAGAGAGGTGCACAATATGAACAATAATTTGAATTATTGCTTAGCCTTTTCTAAAGAAATGATTCCTCTATTTATAAAAAATGGGGTACAATATATGAAGTTACATATTTTCTCCTGCAACAATGGAGATGCTACAAGATATTTTAACTATTTAATATATATATAT